TGAAGGGTGAAGCGCGCCGCCATCTTGGATTGACCCGGAAGAAGAAAACAACTTCCGGTAACGGAGCAGTGGGACCATAGACGTTTATATGTATCAAATTTAATAATAGAAAAAAATGCTAGCAAATGTCATTACGTTCTGATTAAATTAAATGTAATTGATTAATGCCTTTCCTATTTTATTTTACTTATAATGTTCAGGTAACATGTTCCCCGGAGCGCCCCGCGGAGAGACGCGGCCTGAAGAGTGAAGCGAACCGCCATCTTGGATTGACCCGGAAGAAGAAAACAACTTCCGGTAGCGGAGCGGTGGGACTATAGACATATATACAGTGGGGGAAATAAGTATTTGACCCCTTGCTCATTTTGCAGGTTTGCCCACTCACAAAGAATACAACGATCTATAACTTTAATCATATGTACATTCTAACAGTGAAAGACAGAATCCCAAAGAAAATTCCAGAAAATCACATCATATGAATCTATAAAAATTGATAACCATCTGATGAGGAAAAATAAGCATTCTTTGTAAGTGGGCAAACCTGCAAAATCAGCAAGGGGTCAAATGCTTATTTCCCCCACTGTACATATATCAGATCTAATAATAGAATAAAATGCTTGTAAATGTCATTACTTTTTGATTGAATTTAATTGAATTGATTAATGCCCTTCCTATCTTATTTTACTTATAATGTTTATTGTTTTTTAAATTCTATTATTATTTTTTTTATCTGTCATTGGATGTTATCGTGGATTTAACTTTATATGTTTTTTATACATCTCCCCCCGCCAGCAGGTGGACTCCCGCCGCCACGGTTTAATATTAGCCACTTTTTAAGAGGTGTACACTTTTTAATAACGTGTATTTTCATGCGTGACACGTAAAAACAAAATATATCATAATCATTTAGAACATAGATGAAAAACCCCCCTCAAAAAAGGAAAAAAAAAAAATATTCCCCCCCCCCCCCCGACCGTTAAAGTGCGAGTGCCGGCCAGTCATTTACACTCAGGACAATTAAACTGATTTATTTGGTAAATATCCAACAATTGATGGTTTAAGAACGAATAGTCTGGAAAAAAAAACAACGAAAAAAACGATATTCACACAAACTGAAAAGATTCTCCAGCGCGTTCACATTCATAGAGATAAATAGTTTCCACAGGTAAAGGTCAGAGGACCTGTGGGGGTCAGGTGGAACACAGGCACAGGACAGAGAGAATGGCTACTATTTTTCAACAAGAGTAAACCCATCTCTAATACATTAAAACACATGTTTTGACGTAATGCAGACGGCTGCATTTACGACCAAAACATATATGTATTTTCTTTATTAATTAAAGCTTACTAGGCGTTTCACATGGTCATGCGTTTCCATCCTTTTTTTTATTTTATTTTTATTTTTTAAAAACCCCTCTGATTTCACACTTTTTCTAATAGGTCCGATGA